AATAATTAAGGATTTAATTGAAAACAATTTTGGTCAAAATGGATAAAGATTTGGGTTCTGGGGGTATTTTTGAAAGAAAAATAAGAAATCGGAGGTCAAAACGTAATTTAGAAAAGTTACGTCACGTCAGCAGCCCCGACCAACCAGGACGTGTCAGGTGGCAGAGGTGCTGACGCAGGAGGCCACGCGGGGGGAGCCACGTGGGCGATCCGCGTGCGCGCGATCGAACGGTTGAGATCCGTTTCCGCGCGCACGGACGACCCAGATCGAATCGCGATAAACGACCCAGATTCATTCCCTATTTAATCGCGATCGGACGGTACAAATCAAAAGCATGGACGGTCTAGATCAAAAGCGGATGGGTATAAATAACCCCATCCGCACCCAAACTCTAACCCTAGCCGCCAGAGCCCCTCGCCGGAGAAGACAACCCAGCCGCCGGGGAGCCGACCGCTGCCACCTGCTGCCGTACCAGAGAGCCCCACCACAGGTGAGTTTTGGTTTTCTACGTTTTTTTGGCCCATCGAGTGCCCTAAGTGTTTTTTCTCGTAGGAACCAATGCAAATTTGGTTGAATTCGGTTGAAAACGATCGAAAACAGCCAATCCGAGGTGGGTCGTTGCCGTAGGCAGCGGTGCCGTCACCGGAGCACGGGGGAGCTGCCATGCCGAATTTTTGAAATTGGCTGAGTAGGCCCTGAGGCTGATTTTTGGGTTTATTTGGGACACTTGTAGGTACCGTAAGCGCGTTTAAGTTCCTGAAGAAAAATTCACGGAACCCAGGGACTGCCCGTAGGCGCAGTAACCATCTAGTTTTCGGCGTCGAATCAAGTAAGGACCCCTTGCCCTATTTTCTATCATGGAATTAAAGTTCAAATAAATAATAATACGGTCCTTTGTATAAATTAAATAGGTGTGCTTGATTAATTACGGATTGCTAATGGAGCCCAAATCAGAAATTATTTTCTATCGATTTCTGTTGATTTATTTTACAGTGTAAAAGGATGATGGTATCGGGTTTATATATTGTATGGTTTAAATGCATGTATTACTGCCTTACTTAACCATTGTTTGATTTTGGGAATCTATGATATGATTGCATTGTCGGATGCATGTTTACTTGTTTATGTATTTATGTTTGATTGGTAATGGAGACTAAGAAAAAACAGAAAAGAAGTGTGATCTGATAAATGGATAAGATGACATCTCACTAGATATCTTGAGAGATGGTAGACAGACCGGTTTCATAGGGAACCCTACCGTGAATGTTGTTTCATACCGAACGAGGTATGAGGACGACCCACTTCACCCATACCCAACAGGATATTGAGATTTAATGTCTTTGTGCTCATACCAGACAGGGTATGAGATCGGTTATGTAATTAAGACTGTTAAGAAAAATGGTTCACATGTAGCGGAGACATCCCTATGGATCTCAATGGATACTAGTAGACTGGTGAAACGAGAAACAGTGATGATTAGTTATTGTTAATGAATATGAATTTATGATATGTTCAATGTTACTGACTATGCATGAAATTGTGATCTGTATGATATTATTGCTTCTATAATTTGTTTCCATAAAATCCCCAATGGTAAGAAAAAAGGTAAATAGTTTTATTTTAAATAAATATATTGGTTTAAATCTACTGCTCCATTGGTTATTTTGATTTTCTACTAACCTTTGCTTCTGTGACGGTGATATAGTGTGATGTCCTTACTGGGCTAGTGTAGCTTATTTCTTATTTAACCATTTCAGATCAGGAGGACCTGGTTCCCGAGCCCGATCCACAAGAAAATTGCGAGTAGATGCTAGATGCTTTATAGTTTCCTTTATTTTTCTCATTTCTAGTATTTCTTTCATAGAACTTATTCTGTGATGTTTGTTTAGTACTTTTAAGTTATTGCGTAAGGGATGTTAACCTTAACTTTTTATTTCACTTCCGCACTCAAATTATTATATGTATTTCCTTTTGAATTTCCGGAACCGTTACAGTTGGTATTAGAGCCGCGTTCCTCGGACTGATCCCTTACACAATAATACTTAGAGAAACACTAAACAATGAATTATCACTCAACCTTTTCTTGTGAAATGCAGGTACAGGGAGATGAGAAGAGGAAGACCCCCACTAAACTGAGCAGCCCGTGATGGTTCGCTTAGGGAAGACGTGGATAGGATATTTGAGATGTTAGAGAGACTCATTGCGGCCTAGCAAGGCTAAGAGGAGATGAGGGAACTACTTGACCCTCCCCCGTTGCCACAGGTTGAGCCACCACTGCAGCGAGAGGATCTTGAGCCACCTTAGTATGACCCTGTTCTTCCACAGTACCACCCGGCACCGCTACAGTATAATCCGGTGCCCCCATCGTATCAACAAGTACCACCATAGGGCCCCTCAATCTACCATCAGCCTGGCCCAGTCTTTTTTTCACGGGACCCAGTTCCTCCCACGATTGACTACATAGAGAGGTACAAGAGACTAGACCCATCCATTTTTATTGGGGGATCCTCTTTTGAAGATGCTGAGTTCTGGTTGACAGAGATAGAGAAAGCCTTCAAGACCTTGGGGGTGACTTTTGAGCAAAAGGTCATCCTTGCTACCTACATGCTAGTGGGAGAAGCAGATCGCTGGTGGAAACTCGAGCAGACCACCTTGCCCGTTCCAGTTACTTGGGAACAGTTCCTATTAACCTTTCATGCAGAGTACTTCCCAGAGCATCTCCGACATCTGAAGGAGATGGAGTTCGTCTACTTTGTCCAGGGGAACATGAATGTGGTCAGAATATGCTCGTAGGTTCCTGGAGTTGGGTCGATACTCCCCTGAGACGCTGTTGGATGAGGGCAGGAAGGCTAGGAGATTCGAGTGGGGCCTCCACTAGAGATCAGACTGCATTTGTTCGTGCTGGAGCTCAAGACCTATTCAGCCGTTCTGGCCAAGGCACAATTGGTGGAGAGGAGCTTCCACACCCTCCATCAGGCAGCAGGGAACACCAGACCCTCAGCTCCACCCCGCAGACCAGCACCTACTGTGTCTGTCCAACAGAACAAGAGGCCTAGGTCGGTGATCCAGGCTCCCCCTCAGACTCCAGTGGTAGGATGTGGTAAGATTTGTCAGCATTGCGGTAGGGATCACGGGGATCGACCCTACTACTGCCTCAACAACACCTGTCGCATATGTGGTAGTGCCCAACATTATGTAAGAGAGTGCCCAAGGAACCAGAATCAGGGCAGACCTCCTATTCAGGATAGAGCTTACAACCTCACTCAGCAGGATGCCGAAGCCAATCCAGACGTGGTACAGAGTACGTACACTATCTGTAACCATCTTGTTCATGTTTTGATTGACACTGGTGCATCGCATTCATTTGTTTCACCTGTTTTTGCATCAAAATTTAATGTATTACTCATAAACTTGATTCAATATTATCTGTATCTACTGCTGGGAGTATAACAATATTGGGAGAAGTTGTCTACAAGGCTTGTGCCATAGAGATAACAAATAGGAAACTGAGTGTAGACTAATAGAATTAGACACGGAGGATTTTAATATAATTTTAGGGATGAATTGGCTAGCAGCATATCACGCCACCGTAGATTATTTTAGCAAGAAAGTTGTATTCAATCATCCTAATGAGGAGTCATTTACAAATTACTAAAATTATTTAGTACTTATTTCTTGACGGCAAATTTTCGTATTTGTTGAGTACCTTAACTTTACTGTTTTCTCTAGTTAGGCAAACCTAAGAAAGAGAATTGTGTTCAAAAGATTCCAGTAGTCTGAGACTTTCCAAATGTATTTCTGGATGAACTACCCAGACTGCCAGTAGACAGGAAAGTCGAGTTCACCATAGATCTACAGCCAGACACCTAGCCTATTTCCGTTGCTCCTTACCGCATGAGCTGTGTTGAAATAGAGGAGCTGAGGAAACAGATTACTGAATTACAAGACTGTGGTTTTATCAGACATAGTATGTCCCCTTGGAGTGCCGGAGTCACTTTTGTCAGAAAGGAAGATGGAACGTTGAGACTATGTATTGATTATAGAGGATTGAACTGGATCACAATCAAGAACAAGTATCCCCTTCCCAAGATTGATGACCTCTTTGATCAATTGTAGGGTGCACATGTCTTCTCCAAAATAGACTTGTGATCAGGTTACCATCAGGTGAAAATAAGGACAGAAGACATCCCCAAGATGACTTTTTGAACCGGGTACGGACACTATGAGTTCCTGGTCATGCCATTTGGGCTAAACAATGCCCCAACCATCTTCATGGATTTGATGAACAGGGTCTTCAGACAATTCTTAGATCAATTTGTTATCATGTTCATCGATGACATTCTGGTCTATTCAAAAAGTAGAGAGGAACATGCTTACCATCTAGATCAAGTTTTGCAGGTTCTCAGAAGAAAGAAACTGTATGCAAAGTTGAGTAAGTGTGGATTTTGGCTTGAGCAGACCACCTTCCTAGGACACATCATATCAAAGGATGGAGTATCAGTGAATCCTGAAAAGGTTGAAGTGGTGCTTGGCTGGGAGACATTGACATTAGTTAAAGAAATCTGTAGCTTTCTGGG